CTTTAGACCCCTCAAAGAGTTATTGTAAGGGTTCTTAACGTGCAGAGTGAGTGGCATACTCTCTACATGAGGCATCAGATTTAATGTCCCCATTCTGACCGGACGTGGCTGAGTATTTATACATCCCGCAAAGCTAAATTGGATGCCCCACTTTGGCAAGGAGGGTTCTACTGCCGGTTGGAAGAAGACCAAGGGTGCCCATATTTCTATTCCCAGTCACCTTTGTGATGGGAGGGGGGGGGGGGGGGAGCAGATATTAGAAGGTTAATCATGTTAATCAAAAGATAGAATAGAGCATACAAAAAGAATAAGAAATCTGGGAATATAAGAGATGCTTCTTCATAAAAAGAAGGAGAGCACTCACATGCATGCGCTTAAGTTGCTTAACCCTGCTACATTCTGTATGTACTTTTCCCAAGTCAGCAGCCTGTAATTTATTGGTTGTTGTTACCTTTCTCTATGAGTTTTGCACATTGTTGAAGGCCGTACAATGACCCGTAGTTGCTTACATCTATGTCTTTTGGTCTCTGGTGGATAGTGTGTCATTAGCAATCATACCACATCTTCTTATTTTTATTTTGAAAGTTAAACTAAGTATAAGTTTCTGATTCATTTCTATGCATATATTTGTAAACAATCTAAATTCAGCCTTATAAAGTGATCAAATCTGTGTAGGAAAGATTTGAAAAGTTGTGTGCATATTTTAGTCGTCCATTGAGGGTGGTGAACAAAAAAACTGTGGTAGCACTATCGTGTTTGTTGTTATTATGATGCAATCTTTTTGTCAAAATCAGTTACTATTATCATCGAAATATTCTGCAGTTACGATTATCTTTCAAGTTATTTGTCCACAAGTTAGGATTATCTTTCTTAAGTTTTCGATGGCTATTATTTCGGTAACAAGGCCATATATCATGTATATGATATTTATAACACACACACAACAAAACTGTACAGATCAACCTGGGGCTGAGTAATTTTTGTCGAGCCTGCGACTTTTGTCGCAGAAAGCTCGACATAGGGATAGTGATCCGGCGGCGGCGGCAGCTACGGGGGCGGCGGCGTTAGCTAATTTCTTAAAAGCTTTATATTTTAGAAGGTGGAAGACCTGGATGCTTCATACTTTGTATATGGATGCCTCATGTTACGAAGTTTCCGTCAGTCACATGTCCAATGTCCTTGACCTCATTTTCATGGTTTAGTGACTACTTGAAAAAAAAGTTAAGATTTTTTGTAATGTTAAATTCTCTCTTATTATAAGTAATAGGATAACTATATTTGGTATGCATGTGCGTACCTTGCAAGGTCCTCATGCCCGTCAGACAGTTTTCACTTGACCTCGACCTCATTTCATGGATCAGTGAACAAGGTTAAGTTTTGGTGGTCAAGTCCATATCTCAGATACTATAATTAAGCAATAGGTCTAGTATATTCGGTGTATGGAAGGACTGTAAGGTGTACATGTCCAACTGGCAGGTGTCATCTGACCTTGACCTCATTTTCATGGTTCAGTGGTTATAGTTAAGTTTTTGTGTTTTGGTCTGTTTTTCTTATACTGTATGCAATAGGTCTACTATATTTGGTGTATGGAATGATTGAAAGGTGTACATGTCTAGCTGGCAGGTGTCATCTGACCTTGACCTCATTTTCATGGTTCAGTGGTCAAAGTTTAGTTTTTGAGTTTTGGTCTTTTTTTCTTATACTATATGCATTAGTTCAACTATATTTGGTGTATGGAAATATTTTATGATCTATATGTCAGTCACGCAGGTTTTATTTGACCTTGACCTCATTTTCAAGGTTCATTGATCAGTGTTAAGTTTTTGTGTTTTGGTCTGTTTTTCTTAAACTATAAGCAATAGGTCAACTATATTTGTTGTATGGAAGAATTGTTAGCTGTACATGCCTGCCTAGCATGGTTCAACTGACCTTGACCTCATTTTCATGGTTCATTGGTCAATGTTTAGTTTACTTGGTTAATGTTAAGTTTATGTGACAGTTGTAATAAAGCTTTATATTTAGGACTATCAACATAATATCAATGATTAGTAAAGAAGGCGAGAAATTTCAGCGTGTGCACTCTTGTTGAAAACAACACTTATACACGGAGAAATTAGCAGAAATCGATTTTACCTATTTCTACCTCCGCCATATTGGGATCGTGGTAACTGAACCACGATCAGTTTAACACAAGTGAAATATGTTCTCATGATATTTTTAACAAATTGTAAAAAAAAAATATCATAAGGACCTAAGAGCTATGGTTCTGCAGCTATTATAGGTCTACCAGTATTGTTAACAATATAATATTTTATTCCAGTATTGTGGTTTTTTTTCTTCAAAAATATAAACTGGAACTTGATTGCATACCATTATTGTTAGAGGTGTAACAGGAGGTGGTCAGTATCGACACCTCCTGGGGCGTCCCTATTAGATCATCAGGATACCTGAAATCACATTTTGGCTGAACAAAGATATAAATCAAATAGACCTCAACAATTTGTTTACAAATGTACAACAATCAAGTAAAACATAGTCAAATGAAAAAGAAAAGGAATAGAAATTCAAAAGTTAGGTTAAAAAAATGAAATGTTATTAAATAGTGTTAGTTTGCAAAAGAAATAAAAAAGAAAAGTATTTCAAGTAAAATGAAATCTATAAGAATTGTAAAATTTATAAGTTAAAGTTAAATTTAAAAAGTAAATGCAATTGTATTTTGATATGCCTCCCGTTGTATTTTAGAATTTAGTAAATCGAACCAAAATAATGCCAATGTAGTTGCTGATAATTAACACCATTAGAATCAGTGGATTCTTGCGAGCTACATGTATCTTAGAGAAGGGTGGCAGTGATACACTGCTGGCTCATTTATACATGTGGAGAGTGTCCTCATCGGATCAACTCCTGATAAAGTTTAAGAGAAACACTGATAACTTTTTAACATGTATTTAAAAATATGCTATTGGAGAAATATAAAATATAAATGATTCTCTTATAGTTGTGGCCTGTTATCTATTTCTTGCATGAAGAGATAATCTTTTCTCTTATGGTTGTGGCCTGTTATCTATTTCTTGAATTAATAGATATTTCTGCACGGAGTATGATACGAAAAAGTGATACGAAAATCTGCATTAATTTGATTGGCTTATCCAGCATCACAAGACGATATTACGGCATTTCCATTGGCTGTCGTTAGGTCATTGATGACTTACAAAGGTTAAGACAATGTACATTTCGTCCATGGCAATGAACATATGTGATTTCTTCAATAATACACAAAACACTCACACATTTCACCTGACAATCTTCTTTTTGTCAAATTTTATTACATTCTGAAGCGTACAAAAATTCTTAAAATGTCTGATGTTAAAGTTTGACAAGACATATGACGTCATACTGGAATGTGCAAAAGACTAGACCAACATTTCGCGGAATTTTTAATTTAACACATAGAGAGTGTTGACCATAAGCTTGATAAGAGAAATAGGTTTAACAACTTGTGAACATTGGATATCGCTTGATATCAACTCTCGTTATTTAATTTAGATAGTAATAATAAACTCGAAAGGCTCGTTTATTATTAAATTGAAATTAAATAACTCAAGTTGATATATATCAAGTGATATCCCATTCTTACTCGTTATGAAACCTATAAGTATCACACTGCACGGAGTAAGATACGAAAACGTGATACAAAAACTGCGATAATTTATTGGCTTATCTAGCTTCATGAGATGATATCTATTATTTTTACATGATTTAAATTTGATGTTAAACTTTATTTACAGACTGTTATTGACCTGTGGCAGCTGGTATTAACTCCATGAAGACACCCTTTAAAATAAGCTGAAGTTGTGATTGGAGTTTGATGAAGGATAATTTGTAGTTATTGACAGAACTAGAACCAACAGACATACGTTTGGGTATTTAATCATACTGAATATATATTTGTGATGTATAGGTGTAAGTGTCTCTTATAGGACCTCATCCACTACAGCGAGTCTTTTTATAAGTAATATATAATATCTTATTAGCTTTGATGACATGAGCCAATAACTAAAAACATTGCAGAATCATCTGTGTCATTCAAGTAATCTAAAATATCTTATTACCTTTGATGACATGAGCCAATAACTAAAAACATTGCAGAATCATCTGTGTCATACCATGTAAAAGGGGAGATAATCAAATTAATTTTCTTCAATATACAGTACAAATGTCTATGTGCCTTGTTATGGAACAAATCTGGACGTGTGTTATTTCTGGTGGTCTAACATCTTAAAGGGGAGATAATCAAATCAACTTACTTCTATATACTGTTTGTATGTTTATGTGCCTTGTCAGTGTAACAGCTGGAAAAATATTGTTTGTTAAAGGGGAGATAATCAAATTAACTTACAGCAATATACTGTCCATATGTCTGTGTTCCTGCTTAACAGATAATGGATAAATTAATTTTTACACAGTGGAGAAAAAAGAACAAATCAAAGTATTGCATCATACCTAAATCAATGCTCAAAATATTAAGTCATAGAATTAAAACTCATATATATTTAAAATGTTTTCTTTTCTTTTTGCAGGATATAATGGCAAATTGGGATGAGGTAAGATTTTCTTCTGAAAAGTTCATTGGTCAATTTTGTGACCTATTTTGTTTATAAACTGTACAGAAAGGTACATGTGTGTAGTTCGTTGTATTCATAGAGGGAAAATAGAAGAAAATCAAAATGACAAGAGTTATAAGAATTTCAATGGACAAAATTTGAAAGAGCAAACCTGATACATTATACAATCATCCAAAGTTTTTTTTATTCTCTCAAAAAAACTCTGAAATTACAAACACTGTCTTGGTCAGTTGTTGTTACTGCATTTAAAAAACAAACTGTAAAAGTGAACATCATAAGCAGAATAACTAAAAGTAGTTTGTTTATTTGAATGATTACATTTATCATACATTGTTATGTACAGGAGATAAATGCTTAAGCTTTGTTTACTTACAGAAACTTTGTACAGCTGCTGTGGTTGGAAATGTTAAAGATGTGGAATTATCTATACAAAATGGAGCTAATTTGGAATATAAAAGTGATTATGTAAGTGAAGTAGAAATATTTAAAACATATAAAGGTATTTACTTACAGAACACACAAAGTCAATCATATATAAATCACCCTTGTTTGTTCTGATTGATTCATTGTTAAACACAGTAAATATTGGTTATTACATGTATATCTGTATTTTACATAAGAAGGAAGAAACATTGTTACACAACAACAATACACTTAACTCCTGTTTTTACACAAAATATTAGAAATTTATTAACAAAACAGCGATGTATACCACACCTATCAACCAGAGAAAATAGTGGATACAATACCAAGGAGGCAATCACTTAACTAGTATGACTAGAAGTAGATGTATACCACACCTATCAACCAGAGAAAATAGTGGATACAATACCAAGGAGGCAATCACTTAACTAGTATGACTAGAAGTAGATGTATACCACACCTATCAACCAGAGGAAATAGTGGATACAATACCAAGGAGGCAATCACTTAACTAGTATGACTAGAAGTAGATGTATACCACACCTATCAACCAGAGAAAATAGTGGATAAAATACCAAGGAGGCAATCACTTAACTAGTATGACTAGAAGTAGATGTATACCACACCTATCAATCATAGGAAATAGTGGATAAAATACCAAGGAGGCAACCAAATTACATAAGTAGAATTAGAATAACATGGCAGAAACAAAATATTAAAAAGACAAACAACAGTTCCTAAAACACAGGACACCAAGAACAGACATGAAATATGTCATTATACTTTTATGTTATTGGGTTACTGTCTCAAAGCTTCAAAATAAGATATAGTCAAATCTCATTAGCAATTGTTGAAGTTGATTGATTGATTGATTGATTGTTGGTTGCTTAACGTCCAGTGTGTTGAAGTTAAAGGGACTGGACAAAAGTATTTGCCTTATCTGAGGTTAGAATCATCCAAGTTCGAATGTGTCATCATCAATTTAGAATGCATGAAATACAGTATGAGATTTGTGTAAACTAAATATTTTGAATAGTGTGCCTTTTTTTTGACATGACAATTTGTTATTATGTATTGAAGCTCCATCTTTTTTTTTATCCTTCATAATAATTGAACACACAAGTACAGATACAAAACATTCATAAACAAAATCAATAAACGAATATTTACAAAGGTCAGTCACTATAAATTATGGAATCACTCGCATAACAAAACAAAATCCCAAAAGATCACTGATGAGGGCTGTCTGCTTTGCATTCACTAATTGTAAATTTGTCATAATTGTGTTAAACCCTATAATTATTGCAATTAAAGTGGTACATATAACTACAGGGAGACAACTCTGTAAAAATCAGCTGAACGTTTTAATCGAGTTCTATTGTTAAGGTATTATAAAGTTTCTCAATGATCAAAATTAGTGTTTGTCAAACTGCTATATATCCAATGATATCCGCGGCGGCGGCGGCGTTAGCTAACTTCTTAAAAGCTTTATATTTTAGGAGCTAGAAGACCTGGATGCTTCATACTTTGTATATAGATGCCTTATGTTACGAAGTTTCCGTCTGTCATATGTCCATTGTCCTTGACCTCATTTTCATGGTTCAGTGACTACTTGAAAAGAAAGTCAACATTTTTTGTAATGTTAATTTCTTTCTTGTTATGAGTAATAGGATAACTATAAATTTAGTATGTGCGTTCCTTGCAAGGTCCTCATGCCCGTCAGACAATTTTCATTTGACCTCGACCTCATTTCATGGATCAGTGAACAAGGTTAAGTTTTCGTGGTCAAGTCCATATATCAGATACTATAAGCAGTAGGTCTACTATATTTGGGATATGGAATGATTGTAAGGTGTACATGTCCAACTGGTAGGTGTCATCTGACCTTGACCTCATTTTCATGGTTCAGTGGTCAAAGTTAAGCTTTTGAGTTTTGGTCTTATTTTCTAATACTATAGGCAATAGGTCAACTATATTTGGTGTATGGAAATATTTTATGATGTACATGTCAGTCTCGCAGGTTTTATTTGACCTTGACCTCATTTTCACGGTTCATTTCTCAGTGTTAAGTTTTTGTGTTTTGGTCTGTTTTTCTTCAACTATAAGCAATAGATCAATTATATGTGTTGTATGGAAGGATTGTAAGGTGTATATGTCTGTCTGGCAGGTATCATCTGACCTTGACCTCATTTTCATTATTCATTGGTCAATGTTAAGTTTTCATGGTTAAATTTGTTTCTTAGATACTATAAGCAATAGGTCAACTATATTTAATGCATACATTGATAGTAAGGTGTACATGTCTGTCTGGCATGGTTCATCTGACCTTGACCTCATTTTCATGGTTCATTGGTCAATGTTAAGTTTTCTTGGTTAAGACTGTTTCTTAGAAACTATAAGCAATAGGTCAACTATGTTTGGTTTATTGAATGATTGTAAGGTGTACATGTATTTCTCGTTTGGTTTATCTGACCTTGACCTCATTTTCTTGGATCATGTTAAGTTTAACTGATACTTGTAGTAAAGCTTTATATTTAGGACTATCAACATAAAATCAATGGTTAGTAAAGAAGGCGTGATCATACAAATTTATTTACCACTCCTGTACTGAACATGACATGGGACACCTGATCATACACCATTCATTTACCACTCCTGTACTAAACATGACATGTGACACCTGATCATGTAACATTCATTCACAACTTCTGTACTGAACATGACATGTAACACCAGATCATACAATATGCATTTACCACCCCTGTACTGAACATGACATGTGACACCTGATCATACAACATTCATTTACCTCTTATGTACTGAACATTACATGTGACACCTAATCATACCATATTAATTTACCACTCCTGTACTGAACATGACATGTGACACCTGATCATACAACATATATTTACCACTCCTGTACTGACCATGACAGCTGACACCTAACCATACAACATTCATTTACCACTTCTGCACTGAAGATGACATGTGACATCTGATCTCACCACATTCATTTACCACTCCTGTACTGAATATGACACATGACACCTGATCATTCAACATTCATTTACCACTTCTGTACTTAACATGACATGTGACACCTGATCATACAACATTCATTCACAACTTCTGTACTGAACATGACATGTGACACCTGATCATACAACATTCATTTACCTCTTATGTACTGAACATGACATGTAACACCAGATCATACAACATGCATTTACCACTCCTGTACTGAACATGACATGTGACACCTGATCATACAACATTCATTTACCACTCCTGTACTGAACATGACATGTGACACCTGATCATGCAACATTCATTCACAACTTCTGTACTGAACATGACATGTGACACCTGATCATACAACATTCATTTACCTCTTATGTACTGAACATGACATGTAACACCAGATCATACAACATGCATTTACCACTCCTGTACTGAACATGACATGTGACACCTGATCATACAACATTCATTTACCACTCCTGTACTGAACATGACATGTGACACCTGATCATACAACATTCTTATACTCAACACACACATATGACATAACATTGACACTCTTATAATCAACGTCAACATGTGACATAGCAATGACATACTTACACCAACATGTGACATTGCAAAAATACTCTTATTCTCAACACCAAACTGACAGCAATGACACTCTTATACTCAACACCAACATGTGACATAGCAATGACAAACTTATACTCAACATTAACATGTGACATAGCAATGACGCTGTCATACTCAACTCTAAAATGTGACATAGCAATGACACTCTTATACTCAACACCAACATGTGACATAGCAATGACAAACTTATACTCAACATTAACATTTGACATAGCAATGACACTCTTATACTCAGTATCAACATGTGACATAGCACCAACATAGGACATACAAATAACACTCTTATTAAACACAAATATGTGACAACAATGACACACTTATACTTAACTCCAACATGTGACATAGCAACGACACACTTATACTCAACACCAACATGTACCCTAGCAATACCACTCTTATACTCAGCATCAACATGTGACATAGCAATAACATCATCATAGATACCAGGATTGAAATTTTGTATATATGCCAGACATGCTTTTCGTCTACTAAAGACTCATCAGTGACGCTCGAATCAAAAAATGTTAAAAAGGCCAAAACAAGTAGGAAGTTGAGCAATGACACTCTTATACTCAACACCAACATGTGACATAACAATGGCACTCTTACACTTAACACCAACATGTGACATAGCAATGACACTCTTTTACTCAACACCAACATGTGACATACCAATAACACTCTTACACTCAACACCAACATGTGACATAGCAATGACACTCTTATACTCAACAACATGTGACATAGTATTGACACTCTTATACTCAACACCAACATGTGACATAGTATTGACACTCTTATACTCAACACCAACATGTGACATAGCACCAACATGGGACATAACAATGACACTCTTATACTCAACATCAACATGTGACATAACAATGGCACTCGTATACTCAACACCAACATGTGACATAGCAATGACACTCTTACACTCAACACCAACATGTGACATAGCAATGACACTCTTATACTCAACATCAACATGTGACATATCAATGGCACTCTTACACTCAACACCAACATGTGACATAGCAATGACACTTTTATACTCAACACCAGCATGTGACATAGCAATGACACTCTTATACTCAACACCAACATGTGACATAGCATTGACACTCTTATACTCAACATCAACATGTGAAATAGCAATGACACTCTTATACTTAACACCAACATGTGACATAGCAATGACACTCTTATACTCAACATCAACATGTGACATAACAATGGCACTCTTACACTCAACTACAACATTTGACATAGGAATGACACTCTTACACTCCTCACAAACATTTGACATCAGGCAACGCAAACAAAAAGTACAAACATGGCTTATTGAAGTTCTTCGCTTATACTCAACACAAACATACACCATTGCTATATTACCACAATATGCAACAGCACATATGATAAGAAGCAACTGTTATACTCCACACAAACATTTTACATGGAAATACCACTGAATTCTTTTTAAGCTTTGATCATTATTCTTAATCAACACAAAATACTGTTAATCAGACAGGTGTCATGGACATTAAAAACTTGTTAGAATTATATAAAGTGGGTCTAATTTTTTCTGTCTCATTAATCTGAATTAGAAAATATAACTCGTTTTTATTTTTCTTGAAATTATTTTTTCTTAACTTTGATCCTTCATCATTGTTAATCAGACAGATCTAATAAACAAAAAATAAATATTTGACAGAATTATATAAAGTGGGGTCTCATTTTTCCTGTCTCTTCGTACTGAATCAGAAAATATAACTCGTTTTAATGTTTCTTGAAAAAAGTTTTTTTTTCTCACTTTGATCATTTTACTTAATTATTGTTAATCAGACAGTTTTAATGGACAACAAATATTTGTTAGAATTATATAAAGTGGGGTCTCATTTTAATTGTCTTGTCCAGCTGAGTCCATTGATATAAATATTGTTTATGTTTCTTGAAAAAAGTTATTTTTTTAACCTGACAGTTCTGATGGAAGTTCTGACATCTCACAATAAAACATGTTGTTTATTTGTTGTTTATGTAGAATATAAATACAAGTGTGACTGGTCATTTTATTCAGTTTTGACCACTGATTCATGTGATATATATTTTGTTTATATTTATTACACAACATTGTCCAGTTTATGACACAAGTTTTGATGTCTGTTATATGTTGATATTACAGGATGGAAGTACACCATTAATGTTGGCTGCTGAGGGAGGACACCTGGAGGTGGTGACGTACCTGGTCACTCACGGCAGTCAGTTAGAAGTCACAGACCTGGTAATGATAGATATAATCTACTTACTCTGACAAAACTTCACTTTATACAGAATCTACACAAAATCATGTTGTTAATCAGACAGGTTTAATGGACAACAAATATTTGTTAGAATTATATAAAGTGGGGTCTCATTTTATTCGTAACACAGAACTGAATCAGATAGTAAAGGTTTTATTTTGTTTCTTGACAAAAAATTATTTTGTAAACATCTGATTTTAATGAGAAGTTGATGAGAAAAAGTTGTGTTAACATCTTTAGTCAGATAATGTTAATTCTACAGATCTAATGTGAAACATCTTTTAAAAATAACAAATATTTGACAGAATTATATAAAGTAGGGTCTTATTTTTCTTGTCTCTTTGTACTGAATCAGAAATTATAACTCGTTTTAATGTTTCTTAAATTTTTTTTTTTTTTTCACTTCCATCATTCTACTGAATCATTGTTAATCAGACAGATTTAATGGACAACAAATATTTGTTAGAATTATATAAAGTGGGGTCTCATTTTAATTGTCTTGTCCAGCTGAGTCCATTGATATAAATATTGTTTATGTTTCTAGAAAAAAAGTTTTTTTTTTAACCTGACAGTTCTGATGGAAGTTCTGACATCTCACAATAAAACATGTTGTTTATTTGTTGTTTATGTAGAATATAAATACAAGTGTGACTGGTCATTTTATTCAGTTTTGACCACTGATTCATGTGATATATATTTTGTTTATATTTATTACACAACATTGTCCAGTTTATGACACAAGTTTTGATGTCTGTTATATGTTGATATCACAGTTTGGAAGGACACCATTAATGATGGCTGCTGAGAGAGGACACCTGGAGGTGGTGACGTACCTGGCCACTCACGGCAGTCAGTTAGACATCACAGACGAGGTAATGATAGATATAATCTACTTACTCTGACAAAACAACACTTTATACAGAATCTACACAAAATCATGTTGTTAATCAGACAGGTGTCATGGACAACAAATATTTGTTAGAATTATATAAAGTGGGGTCTCATTTTATTCGTAACACAGAACTGAATCAGATAGTAAAGGTTTTATTTTGTTTCTTGATGAAAAATTATTTTGTTAACGTTTGATTTTAATGAGAAGTTGATGAGAAAAAGTTGTGTTAACATCTTTAGTCAGATAATATTAATTCTACAGATCTAATGTAAAACATCTTTTAAAAATAACAAATATTTGACAGAATTATATAAAGTGGGGTCTTATTTTTCTTGTCTCTTCGTACTGAATCAGAAAATATAACTCGTTTTAATGTTTCTTAAAAAAATTTTTTTTTTTCACTTCCATCATTCTACTGAATCATTGTTAATCAGACAGATTTAATGGACAACAAATCTTTGTTAGAATTATATAAAGTGGGGTCTCATTTTAATTGTCTTGTCCAGCTGAGTCCATTGATATAAATATTGTTTACGTTTCTAGAAAAAAGTTATTTTTTTAACCTGACAGTTCTGATGGAAGTTCTGACATCTCACAATAAAACATGTTGTTTATTTGTTGTTTATGTAGAATATAAATACAAGTGTGACTGGTCATTTTATTCAGTTTTGACCACTGATTCATGGGATATATATTTTGTTTATATTTATTACACAACATTGTCCAGTTTATGACACAAGTTTTGATGTCGGTTATATGTTGATATTACAGGATGGAATGACACCATTAATATTGGCTGCTAAGGGAGGACGCCTGGAGGTGGTGACATGCCTGGTCACTCACGGCAGTCAGTTAGAAGTCACAGACTGGGTAATGATAGATATAATCTACTTACTCTGACAAAACAACACTTTATACAGAATCTACACAAAATCATGTTGTTAATCAGACAGGTTTAATGGACAACAAATATTTGTTAGAATTATATAAAGTGGGGTCTCATTTTATTCGTAACACAGAACTAAATCAGATAGTAAAGGTTTTATTTTGTTTCTTGACAAAAAATTATTTTGTAAACATCTGTTTTTAATGAGAAGTTGATGAGAAAAAGTTGTGTTAACATCTTTAGTCAGATAATGTTAAATCTACAGATCTTATGTAAAACATCTTTTAAAAATAACAAATACTTGACAGAATTATATAAAGTGGGGTCTTATTTTTCTTGTCTCTTCGTACTGAATCAGAAAATATAACTCGTTTTAATGTTTCTTAAAAAAAATTTTTTTTTTCACTTCCATCATTCTACAGAATCATTGTTAATCAGACAGATTTAATGGACAACAAATACTTGTTAGAATTATATAAAGTGGGGTCTCATTTTAATTGTCTTGTCCAGCTGAGTCCATTGATATAAATATTGTTTATGTTTCTTGAAAAAAGTTATTTTTTTAACCTGACAGTTCTGATGGAAGTTCTGACATCTCACAATAAAACATGTTGTTTATTTGTTGTTTATGTAGAATATAAATACAAGTGTGACTGGTCATTTTATTCAGTTTTGACCACTGATTCATGTGATATATATTTTGTTTATATTTATTACACAACATTGTCCAGTTTATGACACAAGTTTTGATGTCTGTTATATGTTGATATTACAGTTGAGAAGGACACCATTAATGTTGGCTGCTGGGGAAGGACACCTGGAGGTGGTGACGTACCTGGTCACTCACGGCAGTCAGTTAGACGCTACAGACAAGGTAATGATAGATATAATCTACTTACTCTGACAAAACTTCACTTTATACAGAATCTACACAAAATCATGTTGTTAATCAGACAGGTTTAATGGACAACAAATATTTGTTAGAATTATATAAAGTGGGGTCTCATTTTATTCGTAACACAGAACTGAATCAGATAGTAAAGGTTTTATTTTGATTCTTGAGGAAAAATTATTTTGTAAACATTTGATTTTAATGAGAAGTTGATGAGAAAAAGTTGTGTTAACATCTTTAGTGTGATAATGTTAATTCTACAGATCTAATGTAAAACATCTTTTAAAAATAATAAATATTTGACAGAATTATATAAAGTGGGGTCTTATTTTTCTTGTCTCTTTGTACTGAATCAGAAAATATAACTCGTTTTAATGTTTCTTAATTTTTTATTTTTTTTTCACTTCCATCATTCTACTGAATCATTGTTAATCAGACAGATTTAATGGACAACAAATATTTGTTAGAATTATATAAAGTGGGGTCTCATTTTAATTGTCTTGTCCAGCTGAGTCCATTGATATAAATATTGTTTATGTTTCTAGAAAAAAGTTTTTTTGTAACCTGACAGTTCTGATGGAAGTTCTGACATCTCACAATAAAACATGTTGTTTATTTGTTGTTTATGTAGAATATAAATACAAGTGTGACTGGTCATTTTATTCAGTTTTGACCACTGATTCATGTGATATATATTTTGTTTATATTTATTACACAACATTGTCCAGTTTATGACACAAGTTTTGATGTCTGTTATATGTTGATATTACAGTGGGGAATGACACCATTAATGTTGGCTGCTGAGATAGGACACCTGGAGGTGGTGACGTACCTGGTCACTCACGGCAGTCAGTTAGAAGTCACAGACAAGGTAATGATAGATATAATGACCTTACTCTGACAAAACTTCACTTTATACAGAATCTACACAAAATCATGTTGTTAATAAGACAGGTTTAATGGACAACAAATATTTGTTAGAATTATATAAAGTGGGGTCTCATTTTATTCGTAACACAGAACTGAATCAGATAGTAAAGGTTTTATTTTGTTTCTTGACGAAAAATTATTTTGTAAACATTTGATTTTAATGAGAAGTTGATGAGAAAAAGTTGTGTTAACATCTTTAGTCAGATAATGTTAATTCTACAGATCTAATGTAAAACATCTTTTAAAAATAACAAATACTTGACAGAATTATATAAAGTGGGGTCTTATTTTTCTTGTCTCTTCGTACTGAATCAGAAAATATAACTCGTTTTTATGTATCTCGAAATTTTTTTTTTTTTCAAATTTGATCATTCTACTTAATCATGTTGTTAATCAGACAGATTTAATGGACAACAAATATTTGTTAGAATTATATAAAGTGGGGTCTCATTTTATTCGTAACACAAATCTGAATGAGATAGTGAAGGTTTTATTTTGTTTCTTGACAAAAAAAGATTTTGTAAAATCTGTTTTTAAGATTTCTTTAGTCAGAGAATATTAATCATACAGGCCCATTATTGATTATGTTTTTTTTAGATAACAAATATTTGACGGAATTATATAAAGTGGGATCTTATTTTTCTTGTCTCTTCGTACTGAATTAGAAAATATAACTCGTTTTAATGTATTTTGAAAAAGTTTTTTTTTTCACTTTGATCATTATTCTGAATCTACAAAAACTCATGTGGTTAATCAAACAGCTTTAGTGGACAAATACTTGTTAGACTTATATAAAGTGAGGTTTACTATTATTTTACTTGTTTTGTTGAACTGGATCAGAAAATATATATTTAATTTATATATCTTAATCTACCATTTATCAGTTTATACATAAGTATAATTGGTTTCTTTCTTACCCGATGTTATAATTCTTACATTTTGATAAATTGTTTGACTCCTCTCTTGATTTATTATCACACAACATTAACATGTTTATATTTTTATATTGTTATAGTATGGACGAACAGCTTTACATTGTGCTGCTCAGTATGGACAGATTGATATAACAAAATGGTTAATAGATCAAGGATGCAGTCCTTGGGTGAAAACAAAAAAGGTAACATTAAGTATTTATTTTTATTCAATATCTTTATTTACAAAAAATGTATACATTTTAAATTCATATAGAGAACAAAAATTCACTTGATATTATGTGAACCAAGTATTTAACATGGAGCAGTCTTTAGATTTACCATTAATCATACCAACCCACATACCATACTTCAAATGATGTCAACACACTGATCACCAATCAAATGTTAACACACTGACATCCAATCAAAGTAATTAACATGGTGCAGTCACTTGATTTACAAACATTAATCATACCAACCCACATACCACACTTCACATCACCAATCAAATGTTAACACATTAATCTAATTAAGTCTCCCAAACGAAGTTTGGGAAGATTTATTGTTTTTGCTCAGTTCTTATTATTATTATTCTTCTTCTTCTTCTTCTTCTTCCGCTGCTTTTAAATTTGAACTTGTCCGCACCCGTTCTCCAAAACCGCTTGTCAGATTAACTTAGGGTTTCACAATATGTTAGACTAACATGTCTAGTGGTGCAATCAGGGTTTTGTTTGTGCAATGGGGTTTATAAAGGGGTACTTTGAGGGGCAAAAAGAAAAGAGGGTTTTACTATAGAACCCTATGGGATTTTATTTTTAAAAATTTTCAAATGATTATAAATTGAAAACCGTTTGTGATAGACACAATCTTTTTAATTGAAAATGTTCTAAATGATAAAGCTCATTAAATGAAATACAGGGTTAGTCCCCATGGGTCACCCCCACCCCCTGCCATTTAAGAAAGTTATAATACCTTGTAAGTGGTAAAGATCCCCACCCCTAAACCATATATATTTTGGTTTGTCATGCTAAGATGGTTTGAATGTTATACAGGGTTAGTCCCCAGGGGTCATCCCGACCCCCTGCCATTTGAGAAAGTTCCCATATCTTGTAAATGGTCGAGATCCCCACCCCTAAACCATATATATTCTGGTTTGTCATGATAAAGCACATCAAATGTAATACAGGGTTAGTCCCCAGGGGTCACCCCCACCCCATGCCATTTAAGAAAGTTCTAATATCGAGTAAGTGGTCAAGATCCCCACCCCTAAACCATATATATTCTGGTTTGTCATGCTAAGATGGTTTGAATGATATACAGGGTTAGTCCCCAGGGGTCACCCCCACCCCATGCCTTTTAAAAAAGTTCTAATATCTTGTAAGTGGTCAAGATCCCCACCCCTAAACCATATATATTCTGGTTTTTCATGCTAAGATGGTTTGAATGATATACAGGGTTAGTCCCCAGGGGTCATCCCAACCCCCTGCCATTTGAGAAATTTCTAATATATTGTAAATGGTTGAGATCCCCACCCCTAAACCATATATATTCTGGTTTGTCATGATAAAGCACATCAAATGAAATACAGGGTAAGTCCCCAGGGGTCACCCCACCACCTGCCATTTAAGAAATTTCTAATATCTTGTAAGTGGTCAAGATCCCCACCCCTAAACCATATATATTCTGGTTTGTCATGCGAAGATGGTTTGAATGATATACATGGTTAATCCCCAGGGGTCATCCCGACCCCCTGCCATTTGAGAAAGTTCTAATATCTTGAAAATGGTCGAGATCCCCACCCCTAAACCATATATATTCTGGTTTGTCATGATAAAGCACATCAAATGTAATACAGGGTTAGTTCACAGGGGTCACCCCCAACCCCATGCCATTTAAGAAAGTTCTAATATCTTGTAAGTGGTCAAGATCCCCACCCCTAAACCATATATATTCTGGTTTGTCATGCTAAGATGGTTTGAATGATATACAGGGTTAGTCCCCAGGGGTCATCCCGACCCCCTGCCATTTGAGAAAGTTCTAATATCTTGTAAATGGTTGAGATCCCCACCCCTAAACCATATATATTCTGGTTTGTCATGCCAAGATGATTTGAATGATATACAGGGTTAGTCCCCAGGCATCACTAATGCATACAACTTTACTGGACCAAACCAATTTTCACTGGACTTTGCCCAATGTCAGATGACCCTGGGAATTACGAATTATGGGAGCTTCGCTTGGGAGACTTCGTAACAGCATCCTGTTACAATCATTTCTTGTCTAATTTGGGTTAATGACGACTACCCTGTAGGGTATTGCGCCAGATTATCATATAATATAAAAATTGTTATATTTAATTTTCATATTTTCTCATACCTTTTATGGTGTAAAAAAAAAATTGCCTTTAGTTGTTTGTGAGTTTTTTGTTATTCCATTAAGTCGTACTATTTATTGATTGATGAATAATTATTGATTGATGAATAAAAATATCGGAGTATCACTTTTAGTATATTTAATAATTATTTGGAATTAGTTACCCAAAAATTAAGGGACAGAAAAGTAATAATTATGTCAAAAAGTTCAAGTTGATCAATTATTGATTTAAGTGAATAAGTAAAATTTATTTTCATGAAGAGTAAAATGCATAATAGAATGCATAATGCTAATAATAAAGACTTATTTGTTTTTCCCTGACATGTATTCAGAAGTTCGGATATTTGCATTAATACAAGTACACCGTGGCTCATACGTCCTTAGTGAATTCTGATTCTCTGCATACTCCAAAAGACCAAAAAAGTGAAAAAGTATATTTTAACAAAACGCATTTGACTAACAGGTTGAACAACAGATGTTCTTAAACCCTGCTGACTGTCATTGGCGATTGCCAAATAAACGGATCACAAGATGTTACAAAATGGATTTTTTAAAATTATTAATTTAATACCAAACAGAAAACAATAAACTTGCGGAAAAGATTGTATACCGCTAACAAAAGGTGCAAAAATTAGTACACCATATCCTGATTTCGACAATTAATATCTCTTCAGTGATGTTAGGGATCGAAACGGTATTTAGAAGGCCATATAATTTACCTCAATTTAGAATAAACTCTTGAATTTTGAAGAGTCGAAATATTAGAAATAGGATAAACGGATCATATAAACACGAAGGAAAATATAATACAAGCCCAAACGAAAAAATATAAACAAGTCTAAATTGATACCAATGTTCAAACCTATGATTGCGTTGGATAAAAACCGCAATTTTTATATGTGTGCATGCAAAACACATTTCTTGATAAAGGGGTCTATAACAGCACAAACAACATTCTTCAAAAGACAAAAAAGTGAAAAAGTATATTTCAACAAAACGCATTTGACTAACAGGTCGAACAACAGATGTTCTTAAACCCTGCTGACTGTCATTGGCGATTGCCAAATAAACGGATCACAAGATGTTACAAAATGGATCTTTTAAAATTATTATTTTAATACCAAACAGAAAACAATAAACTTGCGGAAAAGATGGTATACCGCTAACAAAAGGTGCAAAAATTAGTACACCATATCCGGATTTTGACAATTGATGTCTCTTCAGGGATTGAAACGGTATTTGGAAGGCCATATAATTTACCTCAATTTAGGATAGACTCTTGAATTTTGAAGAGTCGAAATATTAGAAATAGGATGAACGGATCATATAAACACGAAATTTTTATCCAACGCAACAAATATATATAGATATACATGAGACTGATGAGGTTTGTAGATAATGTTTAGTGTTATTTTACAAAGATGTATAGACATCTATTTGAATCTGCTGATAGTTAGAATTAGTATCCGTATTGTTTTAAACATTGTGTCTGATTATTTTCATTGCATATAAAAAAAAAGATACATGTATGACATGTATTTAAATTGCTTATTTAGTTACCAAATATTACTGGTACTAATATTATACTGCATGTATCATGTGTATAGTATTGCTTAATTGTTCTATGATAAGTAAAGCCAATCATTATTTGTCAAATCCAAGAGTGAACTTCTAATGACATAATAGAAGATATATAAATGCAAGGAATAATTATTGTATATTTAAATATACAATTCCCTGATACATGCAACCCAGCCTTGTAACAACTAACAAAAGCCAAAGGTAGTAAATAAATAAATTAAAAAAATAAGTAAGTAAACTTTTATATATTGATGTTCCTTTTACACACTTTGTCGGCCCTGGGTAACTGTCAATCTAGCAAAGAGGTAAAGTCATCAGTACACATAGGGAGGGGGTACACCAGGGCTTACACTACTTCAAAATTATAGGGAGAAGTGACTTCTCTTTTTGAAACTGATAGGGAGAAGTGGTGAGACTTGAAAGAGAAGTGCTCTTTTGATGGCGGCGCTACAATGTTTTGTTTTTTCCATAATATAAAGAGCCATATGCATCCTATTTATTTTATTCTTTTTTATATTGTTCAGTTCATACCTGAGAATACAATTTAAGTAACAGTTGTTTCAGTTTATGTCTTAAATAATCATTTATAGTAATTCAATTATATTTTGTCCACTTGTCAGAAACTTCTCAACTATATATCTAGCACCAAAAAGATCTTTTTATAGCAAAAAAGAAAAGAAAGCATCATATACCAACCAAAAAACTATTCTGTTTATCATGTTTATGAAATATTTTGTTTCTCATTAAAAAAGATATATAGATTTAATGAAGTTGAGCAAATTTAATCAATTAATTAAAACAATGCATTTACATGGAAATATAAACATTTAGCAAGGAGATAAAACCAAAAGTTTTTTATGCGCGTGGAATGTAATATTTTAACTTTTTGGATCATTATTCTTCTGTCAGTTGTTCCATTAGTGCGTCTGTAGTTATTATCGTAAGAATACGAATTTCAGTCATAGCTGATCTGCTTGCGATGAATCCCGCCTCCAATACACTACCAACATACCTTCCACCAATCTTACACTACCAACATACCTTCCACCAATCATACACTACCATCACACCTTCCACTAATCATACACTACCAACCTACCTTCCACCAATCATGCACTACCAACATACCTTCCACTAATCATACACTACCAACATACCTTCCACCAATCATACACTACCGTCACACCTTCCACCAATCATACACTTCCAACCTACCTTCCACCAATCATACACTACCAACCTACCTTCCACCAATCATACACTACCAACACCAACATACCTTCCACCAATCATACACTACCATCACACCTTCCACCAATCATACAACACCAACACACCTTCCACCAACCATACACTACCAACATACCTTCCACCTTTCATGTACTACCAATGTACCTTCCACCAATCATACACTACCAACCTACCTTCCACCAATCATACATTACCAACATACCTTCCACCAATCATACACAACCAACATACCATCCACCAATCATACACTTCCAACACACCATCCACCAATCATACACTACCAACAGACCTCCCACCAATCATACACTACCAACAGACCTTCCACCAATCATACATTACCAACAGACCTTCCACCAATCATACACTTCCAACATACCTCCCACCAATCATACATTACCAACATACCATCCACCAATCATACACTACCAACCTACCATCCACCAATCATTCACTACCAACCTACCATCCACCAATCATACACTACCAACTTACCTTCCACCAATCATACACTACCAACCTACCATCCACCAATCATACACTACCAACCTACCATCCACCAATCATACACTACCAACCTACCATCCACCAATCATACACTACCAACCTACCATCCACCAATCATGCACTACGAACCTACCTTCCACCAATCATGCACTACCAACCTACCTTCCACCAATCATACACTACCAACATACCTTCCACTAAACTTACACTACCAACATACCTTCCACCAATCATACACTACCAACATACCTGTGACCAATCATACACTATCATTAGACCTTCCACCAATCATACAATTCCATTATACCTTCCAACAATCATACACTACCAACATAACTTCCACCAATCATACACTACCAACTTACCTTCCACCAATCATACACTACCAACAGACCTTCCATCAATCATACACTGCCAACATACCTTCCACCATTCATACACTACCAACAAACCTTCCACCAATCATACACTGCCAACATACCTTCCACCAATCCTACACTACCAACATACCTTCCGCCAATCATACACTACCAACTTACCTTCCACCAATCATACACTACCAACAGACCTTCCACCAATCATGCACTACCACAAGACCTTCCACCATTCATACACTACCAACAAACCTTCCACCAATCATACACTGCCAACATACCTTCCACCAATCCTACACTACCAACATACTTTCCACCAATCATACACTTCCACCAATCATACACTATCAACATACCTTCCACCAATCATACACTACCAACATACCTTCCACCAATCATACACTACCAACATATCTTCCACCAATCATACATTACCAACATACCTTCCACCAATCATACACTACCAACATACCATCCACCAATCATACACTACCAAAATACCTTCCACCAATCATACATTACCAACATACCTTCCACCAATCATACACTACCAACATACCTTCCACCAATCATACACTACCAACATACCTTCCACCAATCATACACTTCCAACATACCTTCCACCAATTATCTTCCATTAAACCTTCCACTAATCATACACTACCAACATACCTTCCACCAATCATACACTTCCAACATACCTTCCACCAATTATCTTCCATTAAACCTTCCACTAATCATACACTACCAACATACCTTCCACCAATTATCTTCCATTAAACCTTCATCCAATCATACACTACCAACATACCTTCCACCAATTATCTTCCATTAAACCTTCCACTTATCATACACTACCAACATACCTTCCACAAATCATACACTACCAACATACCTGTGACCAATCATACACTTTCATAAGAACTTCCACCAATCATACTCCACCAACACTCGTTCTACCAATCATACTCCACTAACATACCTAACACCAATCATACTCCACTAACATACCTAACACCAATCATACTCCATCAACATACCTAACACCAATCATACTCCATCAACATACCTAACACCAATCATACTCCACTAACATACCTAACACCAATCATACTCCACCAACACTCGTTCTACCAATCATACTCCACTAACATACCTAACACCAATCATACTCCACCAACACTCGTTCTACCAATCATACTCCACTAACATACCTTACACCAATCATACTCCACTAACATACCTAACACCAATCATACTCCACTAACATACCTAACACCAATCATACTCCACCAACACTCGTTCTACCAATCATACTCCACTAACATACCTAACACCAATCATACTCCACTAACATACCTAACACCAATCATACTCCACTAACACTCGTTCTACCAATCATACTCCACTAACATACCTAACACCAATCATACTCCACTAACATACCTAACACCAATCATACTCCACCAACACTCGTTCTACCAATCATACTCCACTAACATACCTAACACCATCATACTCCACTAACATACCTTACACCAATCATACTCCACTAACATACCTAACACCAATCATACTCCACCAACACTCGTTCTACCAATCATACTCCACTAACATACCTTACACCAATCATACTCCACTAACATACCTAACACCAATCATACTCCACTAACACTCGTTCTACCAATCATACTCCACTAACATACCTAACACCAATCATACTCCACTAACATACCTAACACCAATCATACTCCACCAACACTCGTTCTACCAATCATACTCCACTAACATACCTAACACCATCATACTCCACTAACATACCTAACACCATCATACTCCACTAACATACCTTACACCAATCATACTCCATCAACATACCTTACACCAATCATTCACTACCAACACATCTACAATCTTATGACATTCCACAAATACAGTTAACTCTTGATGTCTTAAACTCAGTTGACTCGAAATTTCGGATGAGTCGAAATTTTCTTGTAGTCCCGAACTTTGTTCCATATATATATATATATGTATTTTGACACCTGATGAGTCCAATTTGGATGAGTCGAAACTTGTGTTGACTCGAACTAAATTTACGGCCCAAAGGTTAACAAAAACATTCAAAATTCATTATTTATCTCGAACTTATACACATATGTCAAATCATGACCTCAGGGATTTAAATGGATTAAAGAGTTAATCTGACAATACATGTGGAATTGAATTTCCGGTCACTGACCACTGTATCGATTTATGACATTCTTTTTCCACGAGTGTTTACCTAATATTATCTTTGATCACCATGATAAATAATTAGTGATACATTGTTAATGTTTATGAAAATTTGTTAAAACATGTTTAAAAACAATTAACCGTAATCATACACTAATGAGCTCAGTTGTACTTAAAGTAAGGATTAAGACTTCAGTTGGTGATCAACTCAAAAATACTCAATCTAAATCGGTCTTCAGTCTTTTTTATTTTCTCTTGCAGAAAAAGATTGAAATGAAATAAAATGAAAAGAAATCTAAATTTTCTAAAATCTCTTGTATATGAGAATGAACAATTTTGTCAACTTTAAGTGACATTAAGATCGATTGAAAATTACTCTCTCATGTCAAAGCCACAGTAAACAATTGTAATTGCACAAAGATAGCAATAACAGTGGTCTCTTTAGCCCAAAATAGAAGGGCGCCGCGCCCTGGGTGCCCTCAGCCGCGCCCTGGCTGCCTTCATCCGCGCCCTTCTGCCCTGACGCCTTTTTCCCAAAAACCAATCACACTCTAATTACACATCAAACACCAAGTCAACACTACAAACCCAACAACCATCTAGTCATGATCTAGCAACACATCTTACGCAAATCATACACTGTCAACACAACAATCATCTTCTAATTCTACTCAAACACAGCCTAAACCAATCATACAATACCAACACAACTACCTTCTAATCATACTCCAATTACACACCTAACATCAATCATACACTACAAACATAGCAACAATCTAATCATTCTCCACCTAAAACACCTAACACAAATTATACACTACCAACACATAAACCATCTACTCATTCTACTCCAACAGCTTACACCAATCATAGACATACAGTACAAACAAAACTACCATCTATTCATGCTCCACTAACACAACTGTTTAAACGTAATCTATCAACATAACGAACACCAAATGAACACTACCAACATTTACCCGTCATGCTACAACACTACATATAACATCAATTATACACTTACAACACAACAACCATATATTCATTATCTGAGAGCACATCTAACACCAGTGATACATGTACGCTACCAGCACTAATCATACTACACTAACACATCTACCATCTAACATGTCTAACACCAATCATACCTACCAACACAACTACCGTCTAATCACATTCAACCAACAAACCAATCATACACTACTAACAAAACTACCATCTTATTATACTCCAGCAACACATTTTACACTACCAACACAACTACCGTCTTATCATACTTTACCAACATGCCATAAACCAATCATACACTACGAACACAGCAACAATCTAATCATGCTCCACCAACACACTTTACATCATTCATACTCCACCAACACAACAACAATCTAATCATGCTCCACCAACACACTTTACATCACTCATACGCCACCAACACAACAACAATCTAATACTCCACCAACACAACAACAATCTAATCATACTCCACCAACACACTTTACATCACTCATACTCCACCAACACAACAACAGTCTAATCATACTCCACCAACACACTTTAAATCATTCATACTCCACCAACACAACAACAATCTTATCATACTCCGCCAACACACTGTACATCACTCATACTCCACCAACACAACAACAATCTGATCATACTCCGCCAACACACTGTACATCACTCATACTCCACCAACACAACAACAATCTAATCATACTCCGCCAACACACTTTAAATCACTGATACTCCACCAACACAACAACAATCTAATCTTACTCCACCAACACACTTAATATCACTCATACTCCACCAACACAACAACAATCTAATCATACTCCACCAACACAACAACAATCAATCATACTCCGCCAACACACTTTAAATCACTGATACTCCACCAACACAACAACAATCTAATCATACTCCACCAACACACTTTTCATCACTCATACTCCACCAACACAACAACAATCTAATCTTACTCCACCAACACACTTTACATCACTCATACTCCACCAACACAACAACAATCTAATCATACTCCGCCAACACACTTTAAATCACTGATGCTCCACCAACACAACAACAATCTAATCATACTCCACCAACACACTTTAAATCACTGATACTCCACCAACACAACAACAATCTAATCACTCCACCAACACACTTTTCATCACTCATACTCCACCAACACAACAACAATCTAATCATACTCCACCAACACACTTTACATCACTCATACTCCACCAACACAACAACAATCTAATCATACTCCACCAACACACTTTACATCGCTCATACTCCACCAACACAACAATATAATCATACTCCACCAACACAACAACAATCTAATCATACTCCACCAACACACTTTACATCAATCATACTCCACCAACACACTGTACATCACTCATACTCCACCAACACAACAACAATCTAATCATACTCCACCAACACACTTTACATCAATCATACTCCACCAACACACTGTACATCACTCATACTCCACCAACACAACAACAATCTAATCATACTCCACCAACACACTTTACATCACTCATACTCCACCAACACAACAACAATCTAATCATACTCCACCAACACACTTTAAATCACTCATACTCCACCAACACAACAACAATCTAATCATACTCCATCAACACACTTTACATCACTCATACTCCACCAACACAACAACAATCTAATCATACTCCACCAACACAACAACAATCTAATCATACTCCACCAACATAACAACAATCTAATCATACTCCACCAACACACTGTACATCACTCATACTCCACCAACACAACAACAATCTAATCATACTCCGCCAACACACTTTAAATCACTCATACTCCACCAACACAACAACAATCTAATCATACTCCGCCAACATACTTTAAATCACTCATACTCCACCAACATAACAACAATCTAATCATACTCCACCAACACAACAACAATCTAATCATACTCCACCAACGCACTTGAAATCACTGATACTCCATCAACACGACAACAATCTAATCTTACTCCACCAACACACTTTAAATCACTTATACTCCACCAACACAACAACAATCTAATCATACTCCACCAACATAACAACAATCTAATCATACTCCACCAACACACTGTACACTACTCGTACTCCACCAACACAACAACAATCTAATCATACTCCATCAACACACTTTACATCACTCATACTCCACCAACACAACAACAATCTAATCATACTCCACCAACACACTTTACATCACTGATACTCCACCAACACAACAACAATCTAATCATACTCCGCCAACACACTTTAAATCACTCATACTCCACCAACACAACAACAATCTAATCATACTCCGCCAACACACTTTAAATCACTCATACTCCACCAACACAACAACAATCTAATCATACTCCACCAACACAACAACAATCTAATCATACTCCACCAACATAACAACAATCTAATCATACTCCACCAACACAACAACAATCTAATCATACTCCACCAACACAACAACAATCTAATCATACTCCACCAACACGCTTTACATCACTCATACTCCACCAACACAACAACAATCTAATCATACTCCACCAACACACTTTACATCACTGATACTCCACCAACACAACAACAATCTAATCATACTCCACCAACACACTTTAAATCACTCATACTCCACCAACACAACAACAATCTAATCATACTCCACCAACATAACAACAATCTAATCATACTCCACCAACACACTGTACATCACTCGTACTCCACCAACACAACAACAATCTAATCATACTCCACCAACACACTGTACATCACTGATACTCCACCAACACACATTTAACCAATCATACACCATCAACACCTAACACCAATTATACACTACCAACTTACCGAAACTACCATCTAATCATACTCCAGCAACACATCTTAAACTACCGACACAACTACCATATAGCACAAACAAGAATAATGATACTCAACAGTCACATATGTCAACCTTTTATGCAGGTGTCATAGTGCTTGTGAATAGAGCACAAACAAGAATAATGATACTCAACAGTCACATATGTCAGACTTTTATGCAGGTGTCATTGTGCTTGTGAATAGAGCACAAACAAGAATAATGATACTCAACAGTCACATATGTCAGACTTTTATGCAGGTGTCATTGTGCTTGTGAATTGAGCACAAACAAGAATAATGATACTCAACAGTCACATATGTCACCGTTTTTATGCAGGTGTCATTATGAGTGTGAAAAGAGCACAAACAAGAATAGTGACACTCTGCAGTAACATATGTCAGCCTTTTACTCATGTATCATAGTGGTTGTCAATGAAGCATGTACTAGAATAATAATACACTCATTGTCCATGTGAATTGAACACAAAATAAAATAATGACACTCCACAGTAACATATGTCAGCCTTTTCATCATATGTTATTGAACTTGCGAATATAGCGCAAACAAGAATAACAGACATACGGTTTGAGTACATATATTTTTCACACACAAAAATGATTATCTTTTATTTATAGTTTTGCATTACAAGAAAATTGTATTTCAGGGTCAGACTCCTTATGATGTGGTAACAAGTAACATCTTTGGCTCTGAAGCGGCAAAAAGGAAGAAGAAAGAAGTGATGGACTTCCTAAAGGTAAATATTCTGTCTTAATTAAAAAGAGATAGTCACTAATATGTCACAGATTGTTAGAGACACAAGAGACATGGTACAGCGGTTGCTTTTAGTCGTCAATGTCGTTTAATAATTTGGGGTCAAAAAGGGGCCAAAAATAACAATTTTCTGGTTTGCAGGCAATAACTTGAGTATAAGTGTATGGATCTCTATTAAATTTAAGCACAAGGTTCCAAACCACAATAGGAAGGTTGTATTTTGGGGGTTATTATAGTAGCTGTTTAGGAATTAGGGGCAAAAAAGGTTGATTATAGGGTGTCATGGTCCAAACCGTTTAATAATTAAGGACAGAAAAGGGGGCAAAAAAAACTAGGATTTTCTGGTTTCTGGACAGTAACTTGAGTATAAGTCTATGTATTGCTATTTCATTGTCACACAAGGTGTTATACCATAAAACAAAGTTTGGGATTGATTTTAGGGGTTATGAATCATTTTATTGGTTCATAGAAAATAAATTGGTTCGCAGACAAAAATCTTTAGTAGCAGTGTATGGATCTGTATGAAATCTTAGTGTAAGGTTCCATACTACAATAGGAGGGTTGGGATTGATTTTGGAGGTTATTGTCGTAGCTGTTTTGTAATGAGGGGCCAGAAAGGGGCCAAAACAATTATTTTTTTCTGGTTTTAAGACAATAATTTGAGTACAAGTGTATATATGTTTATTGAATTTTAGCACAAGGTCCCACACCACAATAGGAAGGTTGGGATTAATTCTGGAGGTTATTGTCATAGCTGTTTAGGAATTTGGGGCCAAAAAGGGCCTAACAAAACAAAATATTTGTTTGGTTCACAGATAATAACTTGAGTATAAGTGTATAGATCTCTATTAAATATTTGCACAAGGTTCAATACCCCAAAAGGAATGTTGGGGTTTATTTTAGGGGTTTTTGTCATAGCTGTTTAGTAATTAGGGGCCAAAAACAAGCATTGTTCATGTTTCAGGACAATAATTTGTGTATATGAGTATAGATTTCTATGAAATATTACCACAAGGTTCCATACTTCGAAAGGAAAGTTGGGATTCATTTTAAGGGGTCAAGGCCCAAACCATTTAATAATTAGGGGTCGAAAAGGGGCCAAAAAACTAGGATTTTCTAGTTTCTGGACACTAACTTGAGTATAAGTCTACTTATTTCTATTTAATTGTGCCACAAGGTGTTATACCATTAAATAAAGTTTGGGGTAATGACCGTATTGGTTTTGTTAAAAGGGGTAAAAAATAATTCTTTTGTAATACTTATATCTTTAGCAATTTCAATGGGGTTTAATTCAAAGTCTTGAATTCTTTGGGTTCTTTAATATGGTGAATCTAATTGGGTATTTATTATTTGGATTTTGGGTCTGTTTTTGAATTGATCCATATTAACCCTTTCATTCCCAACGATGCCTTGAGGCACCGCCTGGCTCGTACCCAACGATTCCTCAAGGCATCGCCTCCCGTTTGTCCGAAAACAATGCTTCAAGGCATCGTTTTTTTTTGGTATTTTTATAATCAGTTTCTAACCGAAATGACAGGTCATATGAACGAGAAAATTGGCGCAGTCACGGAGCTTATTATTAAATTTGTTTTAATGGTTTGTATGGTTAAAAATAAGAAATATACAGTTGAGACTTCGTTCACGTTGGGGAGAAATTAATGGCTTCATCCGTGGATCAACATGAGTTCAACAGCCGTTTATTTCAATGTTTTATGTTTCGTCAAAGGTCTTCTCCGGTGAAAATCACAAATATTTATTCTGTGACCTCATTTGCAATCATTTGCATATCAATGCGGACATTTAGGGGGCATTTTATCAAACATTTCATTAAAAGTTGTCGATTTCAGATTCGGATGCGCTAACCTTTCCACTACAACTTGATTGAATTGGGAATTTTACGGGTTCATTGGGAAACATTTTAGGTATTTTCTGACTGGGAACGGGGCCGATATTCGGCCCTAAAATAAAGGCAGGAAAATCACTGAGACTTATAATTTTAGCGGAAATTTATATGATTCGTGTTTAAATTAAAGGAATATCTTGCATTTCTTTGTTATATTTTACGCAAAGTCTTTTAAAATCATTACATGTATCATTTGTCCTTTAACACACGAGTCTAAAACATGAAACATTGTACTTGCTTCCCACACAGGTGGAAAATAAGGATAGAGGGGCAACATATATAAACTACCGTTATTTTTAAATCGCATTGATAAGAGTTAGAAAGCTCTAAATAAGTTGAAATGTTAAAGAATATTTTCCAATAAAAAAAAAACATAAAAAGGTGACAAACGCCTGTGTCTATGTATACCTAGTCACATTTCTGATTTTTACAATCCTTAACTCGCATCATGATTATCGTTGAAGTTGTTAATATCAATGTCATTTGGTCCCTGGCGGATAAAAGTACAGGGGTTCAAATTAACATTTGGTACTGGAAGGTCCAGGACCTTTGACACCCCAAACTATTAGTTCCTCTGTGAAAATAAAGTAAGAAACTTCCAGATTTTTAATGGCCCTTCAAAATTGAGAAGAAATGACCTCTTGGAATTGTAGTAATATGTTTACACTATAAAAACATCTACATATAATATCAACATTTATTAATGATTAGGAAAATTACTGTCACATTAAATTGGAATTTGTGAACTTAAAGTAATATTGAGTTTCTGTATAAAATATTTCCTGCTTTTTTTCTGTTCCATATATCTTTTGGTTTTCAATTCTAGTGTTTATATTTCATCATCATAGATGTATTTTGTCACCTGACTGGAATTATTATTTTTATACGACCGCAAAAAAAATTTTGTGGTCGTATATTGGCTTCGTCGTCGTCGTCATCCGAAGACACATTAGTTTTCGCACTGTAACTTTAGTTTAAGTGAATAGATCTCTATGAAATTTTACCATAAGGTTCAATACCACAAAAGGAAGGTGGGGATTGATTTTGGGGGTTATGGTACCAACAGTTAAGGAATTAGGGGCCAAAATTAAGCATTTTTGTAACTTCCAGACATAACTTGTGTGTAAGTGTATGGATCTCTCTGACAGTGTACCACAAGGTTCCATATCACAAAGGGAATGCTGGGATTGATTTTGGGGGTAATTGCCTCCAAATTTTAGGAATTTGGGGCCAAAAAGGGGCCAAAAAACAAGCATTTTTCTAGTTTCCAGACAATAAGGGGGTTCAAAAATTGGGGGGGGGGATTTTTTTTTCCTTTTTTTTTCTTTAAAATTTTCCATTTTAAATTGGTTATTTCTGATTTATATATATAGGCAAATAATAATGATATGGTTTGAATAGGTAAATTAAAAATTTTTTAGTTCTTAGACCACTTTCATTCTGTGTCAGAAACCTATGCTGTGTCAAATATTTTTAAAATTACAATCCAAATTCATTGCTGTATCAAGCTTGAATGTTGTGTCCATACTTGCCCCAACTGTTCAGGGTTCGACCTCTGCGGTCGTATCAAGCTGCGCCCCAGCGAAGCATTATATTGTTATTGTATTTGATCGGCAAACCCCGGAATTACCCTTATCCGCACCCGGAATCTGATCCGGTATTATAATTGTCTTCATTTCCGGTTTACGGCATCCATTGTTTTTCAATGTTATTTTTGTCAGTCAGATACGATTTTACTCGGATTTACACATTACTTGTTGGCGATTTTCGGTATAAAGCTAGCGGTTGAACAAAATGAACATCGCTGTCATGAATAATAAATAGTCAATAGACAATATTTATTAGCACAAACACATTTACATTAAATGGTTATGGCATACAGTATTGAGACAATAAACTCATCATTAATGTTCATGTACAAAAAAAAAAAAAAAAAAAATTAGGATACATATATATTAAAAGAAATATAAGTTATACAGATGTTCTCAATAAAAAACAATCATTGATATACTTTATGTTGAGTTTTATAATGACTGGCAGACTGCTATTTAAAAGTGTAGTCATATGCCTCAGTGTTATAGTCGATTGCAATTTAATAAAATTGAAATTAAGATTTTTATTAATATTTTGTATATAGGTGTCCCTCAATGATATATAGCATGGGCAGACTGAGAAGAAATGGTATTCATCCTCAATTTCTTGTCTATTACAGGATAAGCAAATGCGTTTATTTCTTTCGGTGGTGGTATAACGTCCCGTTTCAATTGCTAGGGAATGGGCACTGAGTTTAAGTTTACTGAAAACTGATCTGTCAGTTTTGAATTTACATATATCAATATACAGGGGTCTTTTTCCAATTTTTTATACGACCGCAAAAATTAAAAATTTTTTGGTCGTATATTGGTATGACGTTGGCGTCGTCGTCGTCGTCGTCGTCGTCGTCGTCGTCGTCGTCATCCGGCGTCGTCCGAAGACACATTGGTTTTCGCACTCTAACTTTAGTTTAAGTGAAGGGATCTCCATGCAATTTCAACATAAGGTTCAATACCACGAAAGGAAGGTTGGGATTGATTTTGGGGGTTATGGTACCAACAGTTAAGGAATTAGGGGCCAAAAAGGGGCCAAAAATAAGCATTTTTGTAACTTTCAGACAATAACTTGTGTGTAAGTGTATGGATCTCTCTGACATTGTACCACAAGGTTCCATATCACAAAGGGAAGGCTGTAATTGATTTTGGGGGTAATTGCCACAAAATTTTAGGAATTAGGGGCCAAAAAAGGGGCAAAAAACAAGCATTTTTCTAGTTTCATGACAATAACTTGTGTGTAAGTGTTTGGATATTTCTGAAATTGTACTACAAGGTTCCATATCACAAAGGGAAAGCTGGGTTTGAGTTTGGGGGTAATTGCCTGAAACGTTTAGGAATTGGGGGCCAAAAAGGGGCCAAAAATAAGCATTTTTCTAGTTTCCAGACAATAACTTGTGTTCAAGTGTATGGATCTCTCTGAAATTGTACTGCAAGGTACCATACCACAAAGGGAAGGCTGGGATTGAGTTTGGGGGTGATGAATCATAAGGGGGTTCATTTTTTTTTTTCTTTTTATTCCTTTTTTTTTTCTTTTAAAATTTTCCATTTTAAGTTGGTTATTTCTGATTTATATTTAAAAGCAAATAATAATGATATGGTAGGAGATACACACCAAACAGGATGTGTAAATTATTATATAATAAGTATTGTGCAATAGCAAGAAATTTTCAATTGCACAGTATTGCACAATAGCAAGAAATCTTCAATTGCACAGTATTGCGCAATAGCAAGAAAATCTTCAATTTAACAGTATTGCGCAATAGCAAGAAATATCCAATAGCACAATATTGCGCAATAGCAAGAAATTGTCAATTGTACAGTATTGCGCAATAGCAAGAAATATTCAATTGCACAGTATTGTGCAAAAGAAGATACTTCGTATAAATTGCTTATTTCTTGATCAATTTCAATGTGGTTTTATTCTTGAATTTTTGGGGTTCTTTAATATGCTGAATCTAACCGTGTATTAAGTTTTTGGATTTTGGGCCCCGTTTTTAAATTGGTCCACATTGAGGTCCAAAGGGTCCAAAATTTAACTTTGTTTGATTTCATCAAAAATTGAATTATTGGGGTTCTTTGATATGCCGAATCTAACCGTGTATTTAGATTTTTAATTTTGGGTCCCATTTTTAAATTGGTCTACATTAAGGTCCAAAGGGTCCAAAATTAAACTTAGTTTGATTTTAACAAAAATTGAATTCTTAGGGTTCTTTGATATGCTGAATCTAAACATGTGTTTAGATTTTTGATTATGGGCCCAGTTTTCAAGTTGGTCCAAGTTGGGGTCCAAAATTAAACTTTGTTTGATTTCAACAAAAATTGAATATATGGGGTTCCTTGATATGCTGAATCTAAACATGTATTTAGATTTTAGATTTTTGGCCCAGTTTTCAAGTTGGTCCAAATTGGGATCCAAAATTAAACTTTGTTTGATTTCAACAAAAAATGAATATATGGGGTTCTTTGATATGCTGAATCTTACCATGTATTTAGATTTTTTATTTGTGGGCCCGCTATCAAATTGGTTCATATTGAGGTCAAAAGGGTCCACAATTAAACTTTGTTTGATTTCATCAAAAATTGAATTATTGGGGTTCTTTGATATGCCAAATCTAACCGTGTATTTAGATTTTTAATTTTGGGTCCTGTTTTTTAAATTGGTCTACATTAAGGTCCAAAGGGTCCAAAATTAAACTTAGTTTGATTTTAACAAAAATTGAATTTTTGGGGTTCTTTGATATGCTGAATCTAAACATGTGTTTAGATTTTTGATTATGGGACCAGTTTTCAAGTTTGTCCAAGTTGGGGTCCAAAATTAAACTTTGTTTGATTTCAACAAAAATTGAATATATGGGGTTCTTTGATATGCTGAATCTTACCATGTATTTAGATTTTTTATTTGTGGGCCCGCTATCAAATTGGTTCATATTGAGGTCAAAAGGGTCCAAAATTAAACTTTGTTTGATTTCATCAAAAATTGAATTATTTGGGTTCTTTGATATGCCAAATCTAACCGTGTTTTTAGATTTTTAATTTTGGGTCCCGTTTTTTAAATTGGTCTACATTAAGGTCCAAAGGGTCCAAAATTAAACTTAGTTTGATTTTAACAAAAATTGAATTCTTCAGGTACTTTGATATGCTGAATCTAAACATGTGTTTAGATTTTTGATTATGGGACCAGTTTTCAAGTTTGTCCAAGTTGGGGTCCAAAATTAAACTTTGTTTGATTTCAACAAAAATTGAATATATGGGGTTCTTTGATATGCTGAATCTAACCATGTATTTTGATTTTGGACATTGGACCATAATAGGTAAATTAAAAAAATTGAAGTTCTTAGACCACATTCTTTCTGTGTCAGAAACCTATGCTGTGTCAAATATTTAATCACAATCCAAATTCAGAGCTGTATCAAGCTTGAATGTTGTGTCCATACTTGCCCCAACTGTTCAGGGTTCGACCTCTGCGGTCGTATCAAGCTGCGCCCAGCGAAGCATTTTATTTAGTCTTACAAAAGAAATTTAATTTTTCACATTTATGGATAGAACAATTCATAATTTGATATGCCTGGTCAAAGATTCTTTGTTGGATAGTATTTATGTAATATTTTAAATTAATAGTATCAAAAGTAAGATGGCCAAAACCTAATTTATTTAACCAAACTCTTACAATGTTAACACATTTACTTGTTTTCTCAACATTATTATATATTTTATAGACTAAAGAATTAGGTGAATTCACAATGTGGTTTAGAAATGTTATAGCCGAAAGCTGAATTTTTAAGTACAAAGGGGTTCTGTTTGTCTCAGCTAGACAAGCTACATTTGTTGTTTTGCACTGTACCCCTAAAATTTCTTTAATAAATTTTAAATGTAAATGTTCAAATGGATCTGAATCTTTGAACACTTCGCTTACACCCCATACTTCACTTCCATAAAGAGTGATTGGGACAAGTAAAGTATCAAATAATTTTTCAAGCATATTGCAAGAATTATCTAAAGAAACCGTTTTTTTAATTTTAAACCAAGCCTTTCTTCCTTTTTCCATAAGAATTTTTTTTGAGTGACTTAAATTGCCTGAATAATTTCTTGTTATTCCAAGGTAACAATAAGATTTAACAGTCTCAAGATGCTCGTTTTCTACTTTAAAATAATTACAATGGGATTTCACATTAGAATTGAATATTATAATTTTTGATTTTTGTTTGTTTACATCAAGTTTCCACAGGGAACAAAATTTCGTTAACTCATTAAGTGCATTTTGTAGCCCTTCTTGGGTTTCTGACAATAGAATAATGTCATCTGCATATAATAATGATGTTAGTTTAACATCTATAACAATTGGTTGAGTGTTTGCATGATCAAGGTCATTTACAAGGTCATATCTATATATAAATATTAAACAAAGTTGGGCTAAGTACATCCCCTTGTTTTACTCTGCAATTTGATATAAATTCATGGCTAATACCATTTTGAAATTTAATTCTGCATTTGTTTTCATTATACATTAATTGAATGACATTAAAAAGCTTGCCTGGATGTCTGTTTTGGAGTAGGATGTAAAATAAACCCTCCCTCCAGACAGTATCAAAGGCTTTTCATAGATCTATAAATGCTGCAAAAACTTTCTTTTTTTTTAGTCTTATATTTATCAACAATTGACTTTAATGAGAAGATGTGATCTGCTGTTCTAGCTTTTTCTTTGAAGCCAATTTGATTTTCACTTTCATTATTGGTGTTAATGATCTTCATAAGTCTGGTGTGTATAATTTTATTGAATAATTTTCCCAAATTAGAAGTCAATGAGATACCTCTGTAATTAGAGGGGTCAGATTTGTTCCCCTTTTTATGAATTAATGTGATCAGACTCTTGTTCCATAATTTTGGGAAGCTGCCTTTCATAAATACTAGGTTGAAAAGTTTTGATAGGGGTTCTAATAATACTGGCATACCACATTTAATCATTTCATTAGAAATTAAGTCCCCAGCTGATGATTTGCCATTTTTAAGTGTTTTAACTGCCTTTAAGATTTCAACTGGCTGAATTGGTTGATTAAATTCGTTGTCAGAATTGCATGTATTTAGTGTCTTTTTTAAGGCTTTCAACTTTTCAATAATTATGTCATGGAATTTATTGTTTTGGATATTAGAAGTACTGTTCATTTTTTCAAAGTAGTTTATAAATAATTCTTGATCAAAATGGTTTTTTTCTTTTAATTCTGATAGAGCATTTAATTTGTTAAGTAAATTCCAAAATGTCTTTGGGTCTTTTTTGATATTTAGTGAAATTTGGTCACAGATTTGACTTTTGTAACTTCTTTCTTCTTGTTTACACCTTCTTCTTAATTTAGATTTAAATGAGTAAAATGATTTCCTGTAGGATCCATTGTCTGGAAACTTATTTACAAGAAAACAGTACTTTTTAACTGTAGTATGAAGGTCATGACAAGAGTCCGAGAACCATGGTTTTTTATTTTTCTTGATAGGCTTATTCATGATTTTCTTTTGAACAAATTTAGTGGATGAAAGAGCTGTATCACATAATATAGCGTTAACTTTTTCCACAGCTATATTAGAATCGATCTGCAGCTATCACTTACAAAATCATCTAGTCTTTGTTTCACATGTGAGCTTTGAATGTTTGTAGTATAGCAACCAATTGCTTTGTTATCCCAAATAAATTTACCAGGGAGAGGATCTAATTTTGTCCCTGTGTTTTTACATTTTTGAAAGCAAGCAAGTAAAGAGCAACTGATGGGACAATGATCTGAAATTGTAGTAAACTCATTAACTTTAAAGTTTCCAATGCATTCTAATATATTAGAAGACACAAGTGTACAGTCTACAAGACTGGAACCATTATATGTTATACATGTACATTTGCCCATAGGGTCTCCAATAGTTCTTCCATTCAGTATTCTGAGTCCGGATTCTTTACATAAATCAATTAATAATTTTCCACTCCTGTTTGCAGATTTCGAATCAAGATTATTTCTTAAATTATGAGAGTCAATTGAATACTCATTGTCATTTGATTTTGGGAATTTTGCTTCATCAGAGATTACAAAGTCAGGAATAGTCATATCAAAGGTCCGTCGGGCGTAGCTAGTAACTCAAACGAAAGTCCGGTTGCAATAGTGGAAGGTCGCGGACCTCGGACCACCGCTAATTTGAACCCCTGAAAGTATTTGTCCCATTGGCTACCATACGAAATCTTTTATTTCACTTACAACTCCTCCATTCACGATGTTGTAATACTTATGCAGTTTGAACTTCAATTTAAAGGTTTATTAGATATTGAAATTTTAGTTCTTTGGGTCCCAAAGGTGAACTTAATAAACTAGCTACTTATGAATCGAAACTGGAGCTGTCCGCATATCGGGACTGATGCCCCACCCCCATATGCATGTTTATGCAAGTTGCAAATCTGGCAGAATCTATCAATACAAAATCCTGATGACTGTTCAAAATGTGAGGTTAGTTCATGCAATGTTAGTCCTTGTAAAAAATGCTTCCAAAAATAAAAGAAACACAGGTGGCTCAAATGTAAAAGGAAATTTTTAATGAATTGATTTAAGCAAGAGGCACACACTCATTTCAAGATTGTATCTACCAAGTATCGGTATCGATACCGTGTTTGTGAACATATTAAGTTCTAATCAATGTACATAAGTTATGGACTGGACCCGTATTAACTAGCATTGGGGTCACAGGTCTAGTAACAATGATTTTTTTATTGTTTTTTTTTTTGGGGGGGGGGGGGGGGGTGTGTGTGAAACACCGTCTTTCTGTGATGCATCTACTTGCTAAGTTTGGTTAACCTCGGTTCTAGGTTTGTTAGGACAACAGTTATGTGCTGGAAAAGAACTGCAGTTGCTATTTTCATTAACTAAGATGACGATTGGGATGCACCTGACCACTCTCACAATTTTCTGTAAAGTTTTCAGTCAAAAAAGAATGTTGACACATATTATATTCTATGAGAATTCAAAGACGATTCAAGTAGATCAGATAAAAACTAGCAGAGCGTTCCGAGAAGGGTAAAGTACTCTAAGGGTTGCAAGCGTAACATGACTTTTAAAGGCTGTCAATCCATCTAAGATTGCTTCTACATACACTCTTAGCATATGAGATTGATCTTTAGCACTAAGATTGTGCCAAAACTAATTTATGACAGTGCTTCGTTTTTATCAACCTAGTATCATTAACCATTTACACAAAAAAATAAGTGTGAACGTTAACAACACAAAGACAAAAGTACAGAAATGAAAAATACTACCCAAGACTTCAGAGTAGAGAGGAGACATGCAACAAAGCCAACGGATAAATACCATGAACGAAATGGTCCACAACAAAAGTCAAAAATAACTTAAGACTAGAACTATTTTAAATGAAAGTCATAAAATGAACTACCCAAATATAAATCTTGTTCATTGTAAATAATGATAATCAATCTTAATATGTACGTAAATTTTTTTGTTAATCGTGATTTTTTTGTCATGTGATTTCCTGTCCGTTATTTTTTAGCTCACCTGACCTGAAAGGTCAAGTGAGCTTTTCTCATCACTTTGCGTCCGTCGTCCGTCGTCCTGCGTCCGTCGTCCGTCGTCCTGCGTCCGTCGTCCGTCGTCCGTCGTCCGTAAACTTTTACAAAAATCTTCTCCTCTGAAACTACTGGGCCAAATTTAACCAAACTTGGCCACAATCATCATTGGGGTATCTAGTTTTAAAAATGTGTGGCGTGACCCGGTCAACCAACCAAGATGGCCGCCACGGCTAAAAATAGAACATAGGGGTAAAATGCAGTTTTTAGCTTATAACTCAAAAACCAAAGCATTAAGAGCAAATCTGACATGGGGTAAAATTGTTCATCAGGTCGAGATCTATCTGCCCTGAAATTTTCAGATGAATCGGACAACCTGTTATTGGGTTGCTGCCCCTGAATTGGTAATTTTAAGGAAATTTTGCTGTTTTTGGTTATTATCTTGAATATTATTATAGATAGAGATAAACTGTAAACAGCAATAATGTTCAGCAAAGTAAGATTTACAAATAAGTCAATATAACCGAAA